GTGGTAGTGGTAGTGGTAGTAGTGGTAGTGGTGATAATTACCTCTCTGTCAATAGTTTTCTTTACTGTTGCATTTCCAGTAGCGCTGTTAATGTTGAACCATTCACTTGCTTTAGAATCAAGACTGTACGTAACAACATGTCCTGCAGTTGCATCAGTTGCTACGAACTTGTAGTAAAATGTACCTGGGGGAAAAAGATATCCCAAATATAGAATGAATCTAGATAGATTAATTTTTAAAAAGATTTCGTTTTCCTTTGGTCTCTTGCTACTATCTAATATGGAGGCCATGTTGCATACGCCTTCCGAAGGATCCTCCTAACGAAAATTAAACTATCTGAAGCTTATGTTGTGCAACATAAAGTACAGTTATGAGGAGTTAATTATTTTATAAACCTGTTTCTTTAAACCATTTTTTACCAAGTTTTACACTCGGCCGTGTGAACGGGGCATTTGTGTGAACATCAGATCAGCAAATTCATTGTTTGAACGTAATGTCAACGCCAGCATGTTGCTGGTTTTAATCATTCCCAAGGGAGTGAAATAACAAAAGAGACGGCAGCCATGTTGGATGACATAACACGAGAATTCATTGACAATTATGTTGATAACTTAAACCAAGATGGCTGCTTTGAAGTCATGTGCAAACGAAGAATTATTGGTAGTTAACAAACTATTTTTTATTGGCTTTCTTTCTCAATAACACCAACGTTTAGTATACCGCCTTGTTTTTTCTTTTTCCTTTTTTTCCCTCTCTCTCTCTTTAGGAAAAGAATTACAAATCACCAGCTTGGCATTATTTTATTCTAGAAAGGAATTTTAATGGAGGTCTGGTAACAATCTGCTGGTGCACAGCATTGTGGGACTGAATGGATGACTGAATTAACAGGTCACGTGACCTTACCTCCCTCAAAACAAGGAGTTGTGTCAAAGTGAAGACCAGAACCTTATGCACAATATTTTAAGTCTTTACCTGGTGGTAATCCTTCTGTTATTACAGAAGGAGTAGAGTCTTCAAATACTGGTGTGACGGCTGAAGGACAAAACAATCAACTGTCAATAGTTCTATATCTTCACTGCGTAATCATTACCTCATCGCAGATGGTTAAGTTATGGGAGAAAAATCCGCAAAAACTGAGGTAATAGGTATGTAATGAAGGTACATGTGGCGTGATATGTCACCGCCACCAGGGGAGTTTCTCGAAGTTTCTCGAAAAAATACAGCAAAACAAAGATATTAATAGAAAATGCAAGAATAAACTTGGAAGAAATAAAAAAAGAGCTCCTAAATGCATTGGCAGCAAGTGATAAGAAAAATATCTACATTGATATCGTAAACGAGAAAAAGCTTTCTGAATTGGTAAGAGCAATGGTGCACTTATTTAAAAAAAGATGCATTGAAATCTATAGAAAAAAAGAGATAAAGAAGGCAGATAAAGGTAAAGGCCATTTGTGTGTAGACTGGATGAAATATATCAAAACGTTTTTAGGCCAGGGGCTGACACGACGGTGAGAGTTACTTTGTGGCATTTTTAGCGAAAGCAAAAGCAGTGCACGAGAAATACATGGTTTTGTTACAGTTTTGAACGGTGTTGTGTACAACACGATGCATAAACACATATGTGAAAAGAAAAAGTTGGAAGAGAATGAAAATCAAGACGAATACAAATTGAGGAACGAAGAATCCAAAGAAAAACTGTACTGTTTTGCTGGTTCCTAAATGTTGTTGGGATATGTTGTTGTTGTTGGCCGCTGTTTGTAGCTGCTGCTTCTGTGGTGTACTTTGCCGACCATTCAGATTTTTCCTTATACTTTCGACCTTCTAACTTAACTTAACGATTTCTAGCTTATTTGTGGCTTTTTTAGTTATTGCTTCAAGCACATTCAAGTGGCCGAAAAACTTTTCCCTCCCAGGGAACCCCGAGTCCGCCATTTTGTTTGTTTTGCCTGCTTGATTGGTCACTTCCGGTGCTGACGTCAATTTTACTAAAAATAGCTCAGACGTAAAACACATCGGACGTTTTATATATTCTCGGTTTTCACTTTACGTCATAGGGTATCGTATTTCCGGTCGTCGGCCATATTGGTGTACAGACGGCTAATTTGCATATGTCAAATTGCAATGTTTTGGCTTAGGTTTTAGTATGTTTGAAAGTTGTAGCGAGGAATCTGACGAATCTGCTCAAGAAATATTAGAAAAACCCGATGAAAAATATTGCCCTCTTGTTCCTCTGTTATCGGAATACTCTAAAAAGCTAGAAAGTCGTGTAAAACGTCGTTAT